GATTGATGGATTGATTGATTAGATTGATTGATTGTGTGTGTGTGTGTGTGTGTGTGTGTGTGTGTGTGTGCGCGCGCGCGTGCGGCCGTGTGTGTGTGTGCTCGCGCGCGCGGGGGTGTGTGTACGTGCGTGTGTGTGTGTGTGTGTGTGTGTGTGTGTGTGTGTGTGTGTGTGTGTGTGTGTGTGTGTGTGACGGGGGCAGGGGAGGGAGGACCCCTCCCCCACCAATCAATCAATCAATCAATCAACCAGTCAATCAATCAATCAATCAATCAATGAATTTTTTTTTCTTCTATTTTTTTAATTATTTTAGGTAGTCACGAAACACACCCCTCCCCCCAAAGAAAAAGAAAATTTCAATTTTTTTGGCCGCAGTCCCGTAGGGGACGACGTGCGCCGCCCTCGCGCGCGCGCCGATTTCCCGCGCCCGCCCCCACTGGGCCGTGGCGCGGCCGTGCGGGAACTCAGCCACGCGGCCTAGGCCGCGGGCCCGCTGCCGGCCGAGTTGGAGGCGGCCGCGACCTAGGGGGACACATAGAGTCCTGCCCGTTAGCAAACCCTGATTTTAGGAAATGTACGGGCCACTACAGGAGCGCCCAAATTCATCCGACTAGAAGTGTTTCTACACTATTCTTTTCCACGGCCCACAGCTGGGCCAAGTATTGGTGTCACAGCTGAAAGACCGTCAAGTAGTACCTAGGGAGGGGAGAAACTGCAACCCCTAGACGGTCTTTCAGCTGTAACACCCCTCCCTCCTTGCTTGCCAGCCCGAGTAAGCCAGCCCAGGCAGCTACAGCCAGGAGCCTCCCCATGATACCCAGTCGCTGAGGCAATTACCCCTCTTGCAAAACCCAGGCTCGACCAGAGAAGAGAGAGGCCCTTCCCCCCTCTAACAGTGAACTATGTTCAATTCCCACACTTCCTCCTTCCTCCCAACCCCCAACCCCCACCCTTCCCCCTTCCGCCCTCCCTCCCCCACCTGCTGTAGTAATCCTTGACAATTCAGCACCCCCATAATTTAGTGTTCTTCAAGTTCATGAAATTTCTGCTTCTGGTCCATTTGATGTAGCTCAGTAGTTAGAGCACCGGTTGGAAATGCGCATTGTTGCGCATTGTGGTATGAGATTGCGGGTTCAAAACTCCACAGCCTTGTGCATCATGATGGACACCAGCAGGGCGTTAGAATGACGCACGGCTGGACACACTCCCCTGGGCTGACGCAGGTAAGCTATTACAGACACTGCTTGCGCACCACCCAGGGGCAAGTCCATGGTTGTTGTATGTTGGGTTTGGGCTGTGGGATGTTTGCGTGATGCTCTTGGTTCTAGTGGTTCTTTGCGGGCTTGCATACTTGAGGATGATTGTTCATTTGCCTTCCAGTACGATATTGCATACAAATCGTTCAGTTTGCACAGTAGCTCAGTAGGTTCGATCGAAGATTGCATGGATGAGGTCGTGTGTTCAAAGCTCGCTTACCTAGTGGGAGGCAGGACCAAGAGACCTACACACCGCCCATAGACTCAGGAACCGTTGGTGAGAGTGAGACTTAGTACAGACTGTGGTCAGTGTTGGTAGGTTTCTTGGGGCAAGATTAGAGTAGGGGGACCCGTTGCTAGCTGGAGATCTGGGGGGTTCAGCCACTAGGCACGGGAGGGGTTAGGATGAGGGCTCCCTTTAGTACAGCTCGCCCGTGGAACAGGAACGGTTGATGAGACTGAGACTTAGTACAATCTACGGTAGATGTCTGTCTGAACTAGGACCCTACAGACCGCCCATGGAACGAGGAACAGTTGATGAGAGTGAGACTTAGTACAGTCTATGGCCGCTGCTGGTAGGGCTCTTGTGTCGGTGGGGCTCTCCGCAGGATTGGTTGGGTTGCCTGCCTCCTATGTTCCGTTCACTATCATTAAAAACATGTAGTAATGACAACAGTGTGCACAGCGAACAACCTAACAACAAAAACAACAGTAACAACAGTAACAACAGTAACAACAGCTGTGTACACAAAAGAGAATGATAGGAACGCAAAATAGGTACGTCCACCTAATATGGGACTTGTAGTGAAACGTTTGGACTCTGGACCTCGCACCTGAAGTACCTGGGCGACAAGGCTGGCACGTATATGCTTCCATCAGGGCCGAGTGGGGTGTGTGGGACTGAGCTTAGCCCTGGTAGCTACAACCACGGTTCGGTCAGGGCACCCCCAAGGCTGGAGGGTGACAATCCTGAGTGGTAGACACTGAGGTAGGATAGTGGGAGGAGGAGTGAGGTAGGATAGTGGGAGTAGGAGTGCGGCGGGAAAAATTACGAAAGAGGTAGGTTGGGAGGGAGTCCTGTAGGATTAGGGGGCCTCTACCACATGGCAAAGTGCCGAAGGTGGCTCTCATATGTCTGTAATCCAGCCTCTACAACAACGTGGGCTTTGTACGAGAAAAAAAAAAAGAAAAAAGAAAAAGCTAAAAACAATAAAAATAAAATAAAATGAATTTCTGCTTCTGAAATCTGCACCTCAGCTGTCCATGGCACCCAGATGCTGACGAGCGAGAAAGCACCACAGCCATTTTTCTCCAACGTGGCACGGATGCAGCCGCAACTTTTAGGGGTCAGCCTACCGGACCAAAACGGCTTGTGCCTCCAAAAAAAAAAGAAAACAAAGGCGTGTGCCAGCCAAAAAGAAGGCCTGCGCCAGTTCGTTTTTCTTGGCGTCCAGGGGGGTTGAGGCTCGGCAAGGGTAATGCGGAGGGGAGAGCGAGAAGGTAGGCGCGGAGGCAGGAAGGAGGGGCAAATGCGTCTGTTTCAGAAGAAGGAGATGGTTCAACACCTCAGAAGAAGGAGATGGTTCAACACCAAAGCGCAAGCCCATTATAGATACCAGGGAAAAAAAAAAAAAAAACCTGCGTTCTCTTGATGGTCTCATGTCACCTATTTTTTAATTCCCCCTCCTCTCTCTCTCTCTCTCTCTCTCTCTCTCTCTCTCTCTCTCTCTCTCTCTCTCTCTCTCTCTCTCTCTCTCTCTCTCTCTCTCTCT